TCCCTCAGTACTGACCCTCCGACAGTGCAGCGCTCCTTCAGTACTGACCCTCCGACAGTGCGGCGCTCCCTCAGTACTGACCCTCCGACAGTGCGGCACTCCCTCAGCACTGACCCTCCGACTGTGCGGCACTCCTTCAGCACTGACCCTCCGACAGTGCGGCTCTCCCTTAGTATTGACCCTCCGACAGTGCAGCGCTCCCTCAGTACTAACCCTCCGACAGTGCGGCGCTCCCTCAGTACTGACCCTCCAAAAGTGCTGCACTCCCTCAGCACTGACGCTCCGACAGTGCGGCACTCCCTCAGCACTGACCCTCCGACAGTGCAGTGCTCCCTCAGTACTGATCCTCTGACAGTGCAGCGCTGACTCAGTACTGACCCTCCGACAGTGCGGCTCTCCCTCAGTACTGACCCTCCGACAGTGCAGTGCTCCCTCAGTACTGATCCTCTGACACTGCGGCGCTCACTCAGCACTTACAAGTTACATGATTAAATGTTAAATGGTTATGTATGAGTTATCGACCAGAACCTGATTGTTGTTTCTGAAGTTTTTTGTAAATGCAACAATCGGGGTGCATTAACAGCTGAAATATTTCGCATTATTTAAATATATATTGCATCCCCAGGAGTTACAGACTAGAATCTAATCAAGGGTTTTGGGGTGGTTTATATACAAATTAACAGATACCCCCTGGGAGTGTGTGACAGACTGGAATCTAATCAAGGTGTTCAGAGGTTTATATACAGAGTAACGGATCCCCAGGAGTGAGTTACAGACTGGAATCTAATCGAGGGGTTTGGAATGGTTTATATATCGAATAACAGATACCTGGGAGTGAGTAACAGACTGGAATCTAATTGAGGGGTTCAGGGTGGTTTATATATAGAATAACAGATACCCGGGAGGGAGTTACAGACTGGAATCTAATTGAGGGGTTCAGGGTGGTTTATATATAGAATAACAGATACCCGGGAGTGAGTTACAGACTGGAATCTAATCGAGGGGTTCACGGGGTTATATACAGAGTAACAGATATCCCGCGGGTGAGTTACCGAGTTGAATATAATTGAAGGGTGCGTGTGGTTTATATTCAGAATAACAGATACCCGGGAGTGATTTTCAAACTGGAATCTAATCGAGGAGTTTAGTTGTTTTATATATAGAATAACAGAAATAATTATCACTGTTGTAATTTAGAAAACACTGCAGATGATTTATGCACAGCAAGCTCCCTCAAGCAGCAATGTGACAATGAGTGTGTCATCTAATGTTAGTGATGCTGGAGGAGGGGTTAAATGTTAGACTGGGATTGGCGTTCAGGGATGAATGTGTGACTCGCAGGGCACTAGGACCCAGGAAATGGAAGCAGTGCCACTTGGAGGAACATATTTATAGTGGGTGGTTGAAGCTGCTGAGCTGTCAGTATAACAGCAGGCAGGGAGGTGAGCTGGGTAAGAGCAAGCGGGATAGGTGCAGAAGGAAGGGAAGAAGATTTGAGAGCTCAGCCAGGCACCATGTCTTTTACAAGCTCCTCCAGTACAAGCTCCTACAGGAGAACCTTTGGGGGTAATGTCATCGGCTCTCCACAGCTGTCCAGGGCTTCCTACTCCTCTGGGCGATTTGGTGGAAGCTCTGGTAACTTATCCTCCCGCGTCCTCATCTCCAAGTCCACCGTGCTGCCCTCTTACTCCAGCTTCCGGGCCAAGGTACCGTCCCGAGGCTACGAGGTGGTGGACTTTAGCCTGGCTGATGCCCTGAACCAGGAATTTGTCCAGACCCGAACCAATGAGAAGGCAGAGATGCAGCACCTGAACGACCGCTTCGCCAGCTACATCGAGAAGGTCCGCTTCCTGGAACAGCAGAACAAGGTGCTGGTGGCTGAGGTGAATCGCCTGAAGGGGCAGGAACCCGGGAGGGTCAATGATATCTACGAGCAGGAGATGAGGGAGCTCAGGCGGCAAATAGATGCATTGACCAACGAGAAGGTCCGAGTGGAAGTTGAGAGGGACAACCTGGCTGATGACCTACAGAAGCTCAAACAGAGGTAGGACAGTGAGATTGAGGCATCCTTTAGCCATCCACCTCTTCACAGAGGTTATGGGGCAGGTAGGACGTGAACCCAGTCCAGAGGTATGGATGCTACCATTGCACCACAAGCGCCCCCAATGAGTAGCTGCCCCCTGCTTTGTTTGTAGACCTGCCTGGCATCTCACCTTTCCCATTTTCCAGCCCTATTGAGTGCCAATCGCTCATTCCCTCTCCCCCATGTGCCAGCTCTGGCTCTGTAGTAGGCACTCTGCGTTTGAAGATTATTAGTTTAACTCCAGAAAGGGGAGTGCCTTCTCCAGGCTGGCACTGCCAGAGCTGCACCATCAGAGGCTGTTGCTATTCAACACAGACTAACCTCTCAGGTAGACAGGCACAAAAACAATCACGGATAGTCATGACTTTGAAGAGAGCTCTGTCTCTCCATTGTCCTGGCCAATGTTTATCCCTCAGTCAGCAACACAAAAACAGACCATTTGTTTATTGTCTCATTGTCATATTGTTGGTTGTAGGTTCTTGCTGTGCACAGATTGCCTGCTGTGTTTCCTACTTTACTGTACTTCAACAGCATTTCATGGGCTATGTACTAACTTGGAACATCCTGACCTTGTGAATCTTTCTAGAAGTTTTATTTGTGAGATGCGACAGTGTGAGCAGCGTTAATTGCCCATTGCTAATTGCCCTCCAGCAGGTAACCACTGCCTTCCCTAGGGTATTTAAGGACAGGAAATAGATGCTGACCTAGCTAACAGTGCCCAAGTCCTGCGCATGGTTTTAATATATGGTGGTGGGGAACTGCTTTCTTGTAGCTTAAGTGGACCCCCAATGCCCTTAGGGGAAATTGCAAGATTTTGACCTAGCGAAGGAACGGCAATATATTTCCAAGTCAGGATGGTGAGTGGCTCGGAGGGGAACTTTCAGGGGGTGGTGTTCCCATGTATCTGCTGCCCTTGTCCTTCTAGATGGTAGATGTCATGGGTTTGGAAGGGTCTGTCTGAGGAACCTTGATGGGTTGCTGCAGTGCCTCTGGTAGAGAGTAGACACTGCTGCTACTGTGCACTAGATGTACAAATATAGGACTTTCTTTAATTGAGCTCAGTGCCTATAATTGAGGCTTTGAGCAGCCATGTATCTTTAGACCAGGGCTTTATCATTGATCGATGAGTTTGCCTTTACTTCTTCACAACTAACCCTGAGGCATTGTGGTATGACTGTGCCAGATCTTGAGGTGAGACCGCACCTGAAACTATATCTTTAACCTCTCCGGGAGCGCCCACCGATTCTGCCAGGAATGGGAGACAGTCGCTCAGACTGGGTTTGAAATTCAAGACATGGCTCACAAGGTGGGAGGGAAATAAGAGCAAATTTAAGGGATAAAAATTTAAGGGCTTTGATACGGAGAATGGATATGCTAAAGCCTTAGTGAGATTCTGTGGGTTAGCACAAGGGTCCAGCAAGCCAGGGCCATGAACTGTTTGAACGTGGGTCTCTGATCTCGAAGGTAGGATGTGAAGTGAGGTTTCGGAGTGTGGAGGAGCAATTGAAAATGTGGGAATGAATCTCTTTGTACTAATAGATTTGGGAAAAGGATGACAAGGTGCAGGAGTCTCCAGATGGCAAGAGAGAGAGAAGCAGAGGAAATGTGACAGAAGCTGGGAGAGTGAGAGTGGGATTGGGAAACTGAAAGAGAGAGGGAGATTGCAATACTTAGAAAGACTGCGTGAAAGAGAGAGACAAACTAATGAGGGAGAGAGAGAGAGAAAGTGAGAGAGACACTGGGCTAGTGAGAGAGAGAGAGAGAGATTGAGAAATAGAGACTAGGCTAGTGAGAAAGACACTGGGCTACGTGAGTGAGTGAGAGAGAGAGACTGAGGTAGTGAGTGAGAGAGAGAGAGACTGAGCTAGTGAGTGAGAGAGAGAGACTGAGACTGAGCTAGTGAGTGAGAGAGAGAGAGAGAGAGAGAGACTGAGCTGGTG